TCGCTGTCAGGAGAAGATAATAAATAACCTTTGGGAAAAGGAAGTGACCTAAGAAGGTTTAAAAATATTGTCAATTGACTGATTGAAAAAGATACCTGTACCCCCATGTTTATTGCTGCTTTATTTACAACTGGAAAAACATGGAAGCAACCCAAATGCCCAAACGTAGATGACTGGATAAAAAAAGATGTGGTACATATATACAATGGATTATTACTCAGCAACCAAAAAAGAGAAACACATGTCTTTTGCAGCAACTTGGATGGAACTGGAAAAGATCATGCTTAGTGAGATAAGCCAGAAAGAGAAAGAAAAATACCGGATGGTTTCACTCATAGCAGGAGTATAATGGACCAGGTGGAAAAGAACAAAAATAATGAACAACCATATACCAGAGACATTTTGTGGGGGTGGAATGGGGAATGGGATCAAAAACAGGGTGGGGGGAGGGAAATGCACGGGATTATGGTGATGGCACATGGGTGACTTGGTGATGGGAAACCCGCGGGGATTACAATTGAGATGGAAAAAAAATGTACAAAATGATGTAAAAATAAACTTTTGTAATAAAAAAAATATTGTCAATTTGAGTACTGGAAAATTCGTCCAAATGCAATGGTTTTTGAAATAATGAAATTCATCGCTCTTTCACATAGTAGTAGGGTGATAGGAACAGTTATTGGAGGATACTTCTGGTTGATGGAAGTAAATGAAGGTATAAGAGGATACTCAAACTTCCTAAAGCAGGAGGCCATGCATCCATTCATCTAAAAGATGGCGTCATTTAGAAACTAGTTATATTGAAAGTAGGCTAAAACAGACTATGCTTTATATCTTCTGAAAATGGAATCGGATCTCTCAGGAATTCATTCCTAATCACTTTAATTTTGGAAGTGATTTTAAAATGCAAGCCTTGCAGAAACATTAATTGCCTAGGATCCAAAGAGCTCATATAACTTGGCTGAGAAGCAATTTTTGCATATCAAAGGTTGATGATAGATGAATGCTACAGAAAGTCCTATATTGTTCTTAGCTTGTTCCTCATGAATTACCTACGCTGTATTGCATCCAGCAATAACTATTTAGTTAAGAGCTAAGTTCCAAATCAGAACATGAGGTCCGGAACTTAAGGAGACCTGTTAGAGAAAAAGGGTGAGAGTGGATTATAGGAACATATGGTTTGGTACCCTTAAGCTAGAGTTCTACAATTACCTGTATTCTTACAGTCCCATAACTTCCCTCCCTCCCCCTTCTCTGGATTAAAACATGCTCTAGGAAGTTCCTGCACTGAAATGTTGGGTGTCTTTCCAGTGAATCAAGACTGGGCTATGACATATTGTGGTGCTAATACCTCTTATACCACAAACTCAAGTTTCTCTGCCTTAGGTTGTCTGGCAGTGTTTTAAGGTGCAGAGTAGGGTCCTTGATTCAGGTCAGTGGGCTATGCACAAAGGTGGAAGTTAAGATGAATGGGTAAGGAAAAATGGATGCTCATTATGTTTCTTTCAACTTTTGGTGTAGATTAGGTAGAACAAACAGGCCTAGGGGTGTTTTCTCCCTAGGTCTTCACCATTGTGTCTTCCTTGCTCTAGGTAGTTTAGAACAACCCCAACTGACTTCCCATTGGAGCTCAGTTGAAAAATAAAATATAGTTTTCAGGTCAGTGTTTTTTCAAAATCTATTTATCAATAGAACTCCCTTTTATTAAAAATAAAAATTTATAGGCTCTCCACATACTTTGTGTTTATTACTATATCAACTATATTTTTAAATAGTTCATTTTTACTTATTTATTTTCAATACATAATACATTCATATGGTTTAAAATTCTAATGTTACAAAACTATATGTAGAAAAATATTCATCTAACCAATTTTATCCTTCAGTTAGCCAGGAGTTTTCTGGAGACAGTATTACTAGTGATATTTCTTTGCATGAAAGAAATGCTAATTAATTTTATCTTTCTTACCAAAATAGAAGAGACTATGATACTCTTTTGTGTCTTGATTTTGTTGCATAGTGTATCTGAGCAATTATTTCATTGAACAGATACAAAAAAGTTTTAATTTTTATCACTGATAGTGTTCCTTAATGGGTGGATATAATTTTATTTAACCTATCCCCTATTGCTGACATAATATTGTTTCCAATCTTTTGCTGCTTATAAGCAATGATGAAAATATAGTCTAGTATGTAATTCATTTTAGCACATGTGAAATGTAAGGTGCTTCTAAAAGTAGACATGCTAGGTAGGGTCTAAGAGTATGTAAATTTGTGGTACTGTCACCAATTGCTCAGCATAGAAATCATGTCAATTTATAGGCTCATTAATGCCTATGTCACTGTTTGTTTATAAACTCACAAAAGCATTTCATTAAAATTTTTTAAATCTTTGTTAATTATATAGGTGAAATGGCATCTCAATAAAATTTTAAAGATTTATTTATTTATGTATATAAGAGCTGGGATGCAAGCCTGAGGTACAAGGGGTGAGAGGATTCACCAGAGACAGAAGGGGGAGTAGAACAGACAGATCTCCAGAAATACACTGCTGAGGGGAGCAGCAGGCAAGACAGGAGAGGTCTGCTGTGCCAACTGGGTCATCTCCCTGTCCCAGGATTGGACTTGTGCTGCAGTGGTTGCAGATAGTTTCATAGTGCTGAGACTTCACCCCTTGTACCACCAGGGAGACCCTCAATGCAGTTTTAATTTTCATTTCATTTTTTAAGATTTATTTATGCATACAGAACTGGGGTACAGGCCAGAGGTGCAGGGGCAGTGAGAGGATTCACCAGAGACAGTGGGGAGCGGAACAGGTGGATAGACAAAGTACACTGCTGAAGGCTGCAGCAGGAGGGTCAGGAGAGGTCTGCCGCTCCATGTGGTCACCTCCGGGGCGGGGATCAAACTCATGCTGAACTGGCTTTAGCTTCTTAGTGATGTGCTTTAACCCGCTGCGCTAACACAGAGGGCCTGATTGATTGTATTTTTATATGTGTAATAGTCATTTGTATTTCCTTTTCTGAAAACTATGCATATCCTTTTCTGGTCTTTACCTTAGTGGTTTTTATTGTTAGTGATTCTTAGGGAAATTAGTTCTAAGTAATATCGAAGCAAATAACTTTTCTCATACTGTCATTTGTCTTTAAATTTTACCTATAGAGTCCTTTTATTGGTCAAGCATACATTTCTCTATCTTTATACAGATGAATTTTAAATTTTTTATTTTCAGAAGTTTGGGTTTTGTTACAGTTAGAAAGGTCTTTCTTACTCTGATATTCCCCCTATGGTCTGTTTGCTATTTATCAGTTTATTGCCTTTCAGTTCCAAATTCACCTTTCAATATATTTCTTTGAGCACTTCTTCTTTATAGTAACCCTGATGTCAAGAGTAGAGGTCCCTGGAGAGACACTGCTAGAGGTAGTTGATCTGCTGTCACAGGCAGCTGTACCTTGGATAAGCAATGGCGTGTGAGGACATTGGGTGTGCTCTACTACATTCCCAGAACCTGCAGGCCCCCGATGTTATGGAATAAATGTTTATTGTTTCCTTAAAATATATACATTAGTTTACTAGGCATTTGGGATATAGCTACAAAATTACTTATCCAAACTTATATAATGTTTTCATTACATATTGCTTCTGAAATTTTTATGCATTTAACAATTATATAGCCAAATTTGTTAAAACAATTTATACATTAAGATCCTAGCTCTCAATGGGATAGTACTTAGAAGTGAAACCTGTGGGAGGTAATTAGGGTTAGATGAGGTCATGAGGATGGAGTCTCCATAATAAGGTTGGAGCCCTTATAGGAAGAGACAACAGAGCTCTCTCTACATGCAGGCACTGAGGAGTGCACACAGCAAGAAGTTTGTTAGGTGTATGTTAGAAAAATCTTACATCAGTACCTAACCATGCTGGCACTCTGATCTTGGACTTCCAGCCTCCCAAAATTCAGAAAATAAATGTCAGCTGTTCAAGTCTCCCAGTCTATGGTATTTTGTTATGACAGCCTGAGCTGACTAAGATATTGACTAGTATTGGCAAAAATGGGGTGAGAGATGACCCAACTATAATATAGCTACAAGAAACTAATTTCAAACACAATAAAAATAGGCAGAGGGAAAAAGGATAGAAAAATGATGAAAATAACATGGTAACATTAGTCAAGACAAACCTACATGGCTATATTAATATAGCACATAAAGTAGGATTCAGAGCAAAGAATGCCAGGTACAGAGGGAAACATTAGATAGTGATAAAATAGCCAATCCAGTATGAGAACATGGCAATATTAAATGTATATTCACTAAATAATAGCTCTGAAACAAATGGAACAAAACCTGATAAAACTAAAAGAAGAAATAGACATTTATAGTTGGAGACTGCAAATCCCATTCCTTAACAATTCATAAAATAACCAGAGAGAAAATCAACACGGATTTAGAAAAACTGTACTCAACAGGATATGATCAACATTTATAGAATACCTAACTTAGTAACAACAGAATACAAATTTTCTTCAGTAACTGCACAATATTTATCAAAATCAATGATATCTGGAACTATAAGGTTGATCAACAAATTTGGGTGAAGTAAAGTCTTATACAGAATGTTCTCTGACCACAATGGAATCAAACTAAAAAGTAGTAACAGAAACATGATGAGAAAATCTACAATACTTGGAAATTAGAGAAGTAACAGATTTATTTCCTTGTGTTTAAATCTCAAAGGAGGATGAGAGGAGCTAATTGTTTACATACAAAGGACAGTAAATGCCAAGGTTTCTCTCCCTATCTCAAGATGTGGCCTATAAAACTCCCACATCAATACTTCAGGAGTCAGATGTCATTCTGCACATAAGCAAGTATGTATTCCAGGGGGGTGTTGGGAATAGGGAATGTGTCCAGCTATTGCTGTAATTAATAATAACTGTGATCTCTGCTCCAGAAACCTATTACTTTCAAGATTAAATGAACAAATAAAGATATACTCACCACAAAGGGGAGGAGGCACTCATGCTGATTTTGTACTATGTATAAGCTAAAGAGGGACATGCGGCTAGGCCCCATCAAGCTGCAGGCTAGACAGAAAAAGTTCTGCAGAGCCTTACAGAGGTTGGAGCAGATATCAGCCCAGGATGATAGATCGATATGTACAATGAGAATCCTTGGAGGCTGCTGGTAAATCTGTGTAGCAATAGAAGGCCTTTTACCAGAAGTTCGCCTATGATACATGGCAGCCAGACCAGAGGTGGAACTGTAGCCACTACCTGGATATTCTCTATACCTGTAGGGAAGAAAAGATCAATCACTAGGTTTCATACTGGATTATATGATCTTTTGAAACAATGACCATAGATCTAGAAACTAAATTCAGCAAGTCAGATTAGGCACTAACTCTATTTTGTCTAGGCTATCCCAAGTGAACATTTCCTAACAGATCTAGATGTTTATTTCTCATTAAGGCTGAGCATTCTTATGGCTGTTGAGTGGAACAAAATTACACAAAAGTCAAATTTCAATCTCATAGTAAGATATCTACCTTCAGAAACTTTATATATTTATCAGCATTTATTTTACTATATTGTCATTTATTTCTTACTGTCTTTCCCACTAAAATGTGAGCTTCTCAAGGGAGGAGAATCTCTTGACAAATCCATCCATGTTAGCACAGGGTTCATTAAGTATACATGATAATTTCATTTAAGGATTTTAAAACAGAGCTATGAGCACATTTTCCTTTTAGTTGTCCTCATCACTTATAAAGTAAATTTAAACTCTCTTCAAGACCTCTCTTGACTTCACCTTTAGCCTTACTTGCAGGCTTTTCACTGACATAAAACCAAATAAGCTATTTACCTTTATCATACATTTACTCATGCTACTTTCTCTGCCTCTAACACCCTTGACTTCTTTCTTTACTGCTTATTTACACTTATTCTCGGGGCTCAAATCAGGAAAAGAGAAACACATGAAAATATAGAGCTATATCAGTCATGACAAGGGGTATCATTAAAATACTCAAACATGGACAGGGTTATACAAGGATTTAATAAACAACTTTCTGTCCAGTTTGATAAAAGGACAAATTCCTAGAAAAATCTAGGACTATCTAACCACAAGTAAATCAAAAAGAAAAAAAATAACCTAAATAATTTATAACCATTCAAGAAATTTAATTGGTAGTCAGGACCATCTATTGATGAGTTTAATCAAAAGCTAAAAATCAAAAATTTTAACCTTAAATTCTTTCAGAGAATGAGAGAGAGAGAATAATGCTTAATTAATTTTATGACATTAGCTTAAACTTTGACACAAGAACCAGATAAGAATATTATAAAAAATATATAGGACAATCTCATATATCAACTTATATGTGAAAATTTTCAACAAAATATAAACACATTGAAAAGTAGCAATATTAAAAAGAATAACACATCATGACTAACTTGAGTTTATCTCAAGAACATGAGTTATGACATTAGGTTATCAGTGACAAAATTAGATGTGAAAAATATTATGGCCATCTCAATAGCTATAGAAAAAGTCTTGTTAAAAGTAATGTTTTTGCAAGATAAAGAATCTTGGTAAAGTAGGAAGATGAAAGGAATAATTTGACAAAATATGTCTAGAGCAAACATCATTCCTAATAGTGATATGTTTGTTGAAAGCTTTCCATCTAATACAAGTAATCGGCTATCATCACTTCTTTATAGCATGGCAGTGATAACAGCAATAAAGACAATTTTTCTAAAAAAAAAAAAAGCACTATAATGGAAGAATACAGCTGTTACTGTAGATTACAGGATTGTCTGTATAGAAAATATAAGATTTTACAGTTTTAGAATTTTTCCAAAAGCTCTCTTCATCTTCTGTTGAGTTTTATTCTTAGAGATATTTTTTGAGATGTTATTTTTTAATGCCAATTTATAAGACACTTTTATAGTTTCATTTTTAGTTTGTTGCTAATGTAAGAAATAAAGTTGATTTTTGCATACTGATTTTGTATTTACAACTTTGCTGCACAGATAAATTCTTTGGATTCTTTTAGATTTTTTGTTCACATGCATATAATCTCTGAATAGTGACATGTACCAGGTTACAAAATGAGATTATAGCATCAAAAAGACTATTCATAACTGTCTATAATTCCCCTAATTACAAACAATACAGATGTAATCAACACTAGGTGAATAAATTTTGGTATATTCACATGTACAGCAATGAAGATGCATGAATTACAATTACATTCAACAACATAGATAACTTTAAGAAACATAATATTGAAGAAAAGAAGCAAGACAAAATCATATGTACAGTATGATTTTATCTGCATGGATTTGAAAAACAAAAATAAACTACATTGTTTAGGGATGTGCATACATTGGTAAAAAACACTAAGGAAAAATAAGGAAATGATTATTAAAAAAAATTAAGGTAATGATTTTCTCCAGGAACAAAAGAGGGCAATAAATAGAAGGGAGGAAACAGGGCTTTCTTCTGTTTAACGACCTTTTTATTTATGACCTTTTAATTCTATTTAATGACCTATTTATGTGACTACATGGGCATTCACGTTACAATCATCAAAGTATATGTTCATATTTTATGAAATTTTTTCTAAGTGTACATTTAGCAAGAAAATATTTTAAAAAACATTGGGATAAACATAACAAAGAATATGTTTTAAGTAAAAGAAACAAGTCCTTTGGGAACTGAAATGATTCCATACAATTGTTTTTAAGTAAAGAATACAGGGATAATAAAAGCTTTGATTTTTCTTCTCTGTGAGAAAATTATGGTAATTTTCAGAAACATTTTGGAATTTAGGATATTCAAAAATGATTCAAGATAAATGTGTTTCTCAAAGTGAATCTGTAAAGTTATTTCCCTTCAAACTTCCCTTTTTGCATAGTGGAAGTCAGCATTTGTTCAACAACTTTTTACTGAGCTCCAACTACATTCTAGAGCTGAATGAATGAATGAATGAATGAATGTACTAATTTCTTGAAAGTAATCTTGAACGAGCAATCCAGATCAACAACTATTACATTTACCAAGAAAGTACATATCTTAAATATCTTTTAACTTTAATTTTAAATTAAAAGCATGGGTTCAATGGAAAGCCCAATTTGAGACTATAGATTCACAGTGATGAACAGGCTCTCAGAGGACTTATTTAATAAAAACAAACTCTTCCTCTCTGCCCATCCTCTCACATCTGAAAAACTCTTGTCCTCTTAGAGTACAGGCAATTTTAACTTTGTCTGGTTTCAATTTATGAATTTCAATTACTAGTTAATTAGCCATAGTTCCTCCATCACATAGTTCAAATTTTAGTTAGTGTGGAATGCTGTGAGTAATAACATAAAGTACAAGTCACAGCTAGCTCTTCATTCCACAAACCACTACATAAATAAGAGGCACATCATGATCTGTGATTATGTAATTTTTTTCTCCCAAAATTTGTCGGTGGGTGCTGCAGATCTTTTTGTATAAGCACAGATAGCAAATAGGCAGTTGTATATTCCGCTGATAAACATGGACATTTTCCAAAAATGGATATTAAAAAGAGGAAATTGGCCAACAAAGATGTAAGTGTGGCAAAGAAAGGTCATGCTGGAAATGAAATTTGAATCTTAGGAGTCACAGCTGACTGAGAATGTTGACAGTGACACTATTTGATAGACTCTAGAGGAGCAGTCAGAAGAACTTGGTGAAGGCAAGTAAGGAAAAGTGGCTGTGACAAAAAGTCTGAGGACGTTCGAGAAAAAGTGTCCCTAGCGAAAGAAATTCACATTAAAGGAACTCTAGGAGCTCTTTTACAAAATTAAAAGCATGAAGGATAAAACGCTGGAAGCTGATCAAAGCTCAGATCAGGAGTATAACAAATTGTAAGACTTTGAAAGGATGCTTGCTCCATCATAAATTATACCAGAAGACAAACACAAGCACCGTTCAAACTACTCTTGATATGCTTTTTTTTTTGAGAATTTCTTTTTATTTTAATGATTGATATGCTTTTTACAAAGAAATAAAACTAAATCTCGATGTTTCTAAAGTTTTAAATTACAATGTGCTAAATAGATATTAGTTTCAGTATTTTTCATTTCCCTATAGACCTACAATCAACATGTCTTACCGTTTTGACAATTCTGAGAGGTCAGAACAAATGCGATTCCCACACCCCCCTAACCCCCGCTCATTTTGAATGGTTTCAGCTTGCATATTTTTAGATCCCACACTTGTGTGCAATTCCAAGACTGTACTTTAAATAAGGTAAGAGGCAGCTCCCTTCCCTACATCCTCAAACACGACCAACTAATATATCGGATGCATCTGGACATAATACTAAAATGACAATTTTTGACTCTGTACTCTCTATTTTGTCAAGAACACCCACTTACGGGTTTCCTGCTGCAAACTTGTTAACCCTAGAACTGGGACTTGAATCACCAAAGCCATCAAGTTACTTCCTTACTTCAATGGCTTGCAATTACATTTGGAACACAATCCAAACCCCTTACCAGGCGCCCAAGTTCCCTAAGTATCTTCTGACCGGTTTTCCATCCTCACGCCCACATCTTCCTGCCCTTGGGGCTCCCTTCAAGTCCCAAATACACTGGCCTCTGGCTGTGGCTCCCGCTTCTTACCCTTCAGGTCTAGTTTAACCGGTTAGGTCCCTTAACCGCCCTCATAAAAGCGCCCACGCCAGGCTTTCATAGCCTGAGGACACTGTGAGTGTGACTAGTCACCCTCGCGCGGGCGGCATTAATACTTTGGCGACTCCTCAGCACTTTTGCCTTGTTGGGCTCCATCCCTTCCTCATCCAAAAAAAAAAAAAAAAAAAGGTGAATGAATTTAATATTCTTTCGTGTATCCTAAAACTCATTTTTCCCCCCTCAGGTAAAAAAGAAAATAAAAAAATTTTCTTGGACCCTAAAGGTTGACTGTGTTTTTCTTTCCCGCTAACTTTACAAGATGTGACACATTTGTGAGCCCCCAAGCACCTCGGGACCTCCCTCGGTGTGGCGCCTACTGTACCTGACTGAAAGCCTGCTGAGGAGACGCGTCTGCTCTCCTCAGCCAAAGGCCGGCGCAGACCTGTGTGAGAAGGAAAGCCTAGGACAGACCGGGGTTTCTGGGTGTCAGTCAGAGGTGCCAAGACCTGCCTGAGGGGCCCCCAGCGCCCGGGTCCACCTTGTGAGACGCTGGCCGGAGTTTTGGGGCTGTCCTCAAAATCATTCTCTTGGAGAAGCGAGTGTGATACCCTTTTGTTTGGGA